GATTCCAGGATTTTATCGACAGTAACCCTCAAGTAGCTTCATGGATAGATCAGATTCCCAAAGAAAAATGGTGCAGGTCTTACGATGAGGACGGTCGGAGGTTTGGTCACATGACGACTAACTTATCTGAGTGTGTGAATAAGGTCCTGAGGGGTGCACGTAATTTGCCTATAACAGCATTGGTGAAGATGACTCAAAGTAGACTTGTTGAGTATTTCGTCAAGAGACGTGAAAAGATCCAAAAGGCAAAGGCAAAGGGTTGGAGAATTGCAAAAAAAGTTGAGGATATCATCCAAAAAAATGATCAATTAACAGTGAGCCTCCGTGTGCGGGTTTTTGATAGGGACCTGCAGCTATTTGAAGTTGAGGATGCCTACAATCAATCAACTCATGATGCAGGTGACATAATGAGGGTGGACTTGCTCAATCGCAAATGTCAATGTGGACGGTTCACATCTAGAAGATTCCCTTGCAGTCATGTCTTAGCGGTGTGCAAGGTAGAAAAGTTGAACCACTATGATTATGTTGATCCTGTGTTCTCAATTGCACAAATTGATAAGGTATATGCTGCTCATTGGTATCCAATGGGCAATGAGTTGTTGATTCCACAAATTGATGGCCCAACCATTATCCCAAATGCATCTTTGGTACGTGCACAAGGAAGACCCAAATCGTCAAGGATACAGAATGAGATGGATTGGGTTGAGTCTCAACCGACAAGCAGTCAGAGTAGATGTAGTCTGTGTAAGCAAATTGGTCACAACAAACGTACATGTCCTATGAGGATTCCCAATACAAGATGAATTGCGGAGGAAGCAGGGGAAGGGCTTAATGTTTTGATGGTTTAACATTATAGGCATTTATGGTTTTATATGCTTGTATTTGATGTCATGATGTTTGTATTTGAATGTAATGACGGTGCTATGTTTGTATTTGATGTCATGATGTTTGTATTTGAATGTAATGACGGTGCTATGTTTGTATTTGATGTCATGATATTTGTATTTGACTCACATGGGTTTTTTGACTCGGAAATTATGCTCCCTAAGTCACACTCCCTTAGTGGATCAGTGTAGAGTGGAAACCTAGGGCAAAAAACATGGGTAATTCGGATTTGGGGTCCTAAACCAACAATTTAGTCGATTAACCTGTACTGGTTTAATCGACTAACCAGTACAGGTTAATCGACTAAATTGTTGGTTTAGGACCCCAAATCCGAATTACCCATGTTTTTTGCCCTAGGTTTCCACTCTACACTGATCCACTAAGGGAGTGTGACTTAGGGAGCATAATTTCCGAGTCAAAAAACCCATGTGGACATTAAATTCCTAAAACCAAGTCGTATGTTGTCATAACGTTTGTTTACGGTTAACAATACAAGATGTAGCCTTTTTGAACACATGTATTGATTTGCTGTGATGTGTTATGGACGAAAGTGACCTGTTCAATATTGTTTTGTGCCGTGATGATCAAATTGCTAAAAAGGTTCCATTCATAAGTTATACAATATTGAAATGGAATTAAATTCATTACACAACATAACATAGATCCAAAAAACATAACAATTCTGCATTCATTAAAAAAAGTTACACACATCAACGACTTAAAGGAAATACATGAACAAAACACAATAACATGATGTACACCCTAAATCTACTCGTCATCCCCGTCTGTGTCCGTCTCCGAGTCGTCCTCATCTGACACATGACCCCCATCCCTTGCTGCCTCAGCTACCTGACCACCTCTTGCAAGCTCCAGACGAGCAAGCCTGTCTTCCACACCCTTAAACCTTCCCTGTATGTGTCTAAACCTTTCATTCCCTTTCTTTCTCCATTTTTTATGTGCCAGCGCCATCTTTCCTATCTTCTTTGTCATTGCATTTATGCCCTTCATGACATCACGCAGTGAAAATCCACCTTCAGGTTCAGCTATCTCCTCAACCTCAGCCACATCCTCCTCCTCCTCCTCCTCCTCCTCCTCCACATCTGGCTCAACAATATGGTCATCTGGGGCAACATAAGGAACCTCAACCTGGGGCATACCACTAAACTCCCACACACCCGATCTCGTGTTCTTAGTAATCTTGCACTGCTCCAATAGACGCTTTCCGAACTTGCAATTATAGCCCGTGGTCTTCTTCAACAGCTCAGTCTCCATGGGAACACCAAAGTGAACCAATATCCTCTGTACCAGACAGGCGTATGGAAGATGACCCTTATGTTTGGCCTTAAACATAAACCAACAGATATAGTGCCTCCAGTTCACCATCTGGGCATGTCGGATAGCCCACATAATGGGAATGTCATGTTCCAACACCCTGGAATGATTAAAAGATCGCGGAAACAGAACGTGGGTGAGGACATAGTGTAGTATACGGGACTCCACAGAAAGCAACCCCACCGTATAGTGCAAGTGTTCCCCACGGACTCTTCTCTGCTCCTGCACGGCATCCTCTCGTACATATCCTGGAAGTACTACACCACTATCAGCGTCATACACCACAGTTTGAGAAGAGTCAAAATCATAGCCGAGTATCTCCAACCATGCAGGTGCCGTCATGATGATCTCTATTCCACAGACCCTCGACCTCAGCTCGCCCTGTACGTAGCTGAGGTTATGGTAGAAGGCCCGCACCATAAGCTCTGAATACGGACATAGGGTCTCGGCCAACACCCTCAAATGTGCCGCCTCCAACACCCCCACAATTTCAAATCCCTCCTTATCAAAAAAGGCTGTATCCAAAGATTTTGGAGCACATAACGACCGGTTCAAATGGTCACGTACGAATGAAGCGTGGACGGCAGGGTCGTCCTCAAACAGATACCCATACAGGAGGTCAACAGTATCAGGCTCTTCGTCTTGTCGCCTTGACGAAGAAGGCCGCTCTTGCCTATGCTTGGTGCGTCTCTCAAGTGACTCATTGCCCTCATCGCTTGGTCTTCTGCGGCTCGTCATTTGTTTAGGGTACCTACAATGAAACATGTCAGCATTTAACTATATGAAACATGTCATGATGGTAATGAAAACTTGCAACATAAGCGCTGTAAACCAAAAGCAAACTTTTGCCCCATACAAACTTTTCAAACAAAAAAATTCACACAATGCAAAAAAATAAACCTTAGTAGATTAGGGTTACAAAACCTACAACAAACGCTTTGATTAGAGTTCACAAATTCGGACAACAAACAAATACAAAAAATTCCTAAACCTAAAACACAATGCAAGTTAAGAAACCTTACCTATCCTTCAGATTTCACGATTTGGACCAAATTTGGGGGCAATCCACACGCCTAAAGGAAGGGTTTGGGGCGTTCTTCAGCTGCTCCTGCGGATTTGGGGTTTGGGCCGCCTCCTTAGTCGATTAGGTCATCATACTCCCCCTCTGCCGAATGGGGGGTTTTTAAAAAACAAATCCGTCGATATTTAGTCGACTAAATATCGATACTTAGTCGACTAAATATCCCAAAAATGTAGTCGATTAAGATGATTTTTTAGTCGACTAAATTTGCGGAAGTCCACTTTCTGAAGATTGACCATTTGCTCGACTAAAACAGCATGGTAGTCGACTAAAAGGGGGCAGGTTGGTGGATAGTTCTTGATCAGGGGCAAATTGGTTATTAATTAATTAATGAGGGGCAAAAGGGTCAAAAAGCCGTCTAACTATAGCATATTGTAAAACCGTAAATTATTAAATTATTTAAAATATACATTAAATATTAACTAATGAGAAATTACTCTTGGATATTAAAATTTTTGCCTTTATTAGGATTCTTTGTTTTTCTCCTTTTTACACTCCATCCTTGATAATTATAATTGAAAGTGACTCCATTGCGGTGATCACTTTGCTTACCAAACACGGTAATGCAGCCTGAGAGTTTGCTCGCGTTCGGGCATGAATGAACAAGGATTGGAAACTTAAACTTCAACATATTTACCGCGAAGGAAACCAGTGTGCTGATTGGCTCGCCAATCATATGGTTCACTCTTATGAGAATTCTGCATAAAAGGAGTTCATCCAGATCTCTCCTGGACTTAGTTGTTTATTTTTTGTTGATGTTTGTGTTGTTAGTAGCTGTAGAAGTATTACTATTGTTTAGTTGTTTTTTGGGCTGTTAAGCCCTTTCTTTCACAAAAAAAAGTCCTTGATAATTGAAATTTTGGTAATCAGATTAAAAAAAAAAAAAATGCAAACACACAATTCATTTTTAGAAAAAAGTTTCCATAGAAAATCTATTTTTAAAGTGAGAAACATATCCACTAATAATTAAATTTTAGTGAGTCAAAAAAATTATAATACTTCTTAAATTTAATAAAAGGTGAATTTAAAAGACAAATTTTAGAGAATTTTTTTTTTTCATTTTCAAAGATCACAAGGCTGAGTGGTACCTAACATATAGACACAATAACATTTTGGTACTTTTGAAACATATAAAAAAAATTCGTATCTATTATTTAACGTGTGTTATCTTAATTGTAATATTAGAAATATTATTAAAATAATAATAATAACAAGTCGGATAATTAAAATAGTACACATTAAATTATGTATTTTCACAGCATATGAGAACACTCCAAATACGACGTGCATCCGTTATACAAAGCTCCAAAATTGAGTTGATTTGGGGCAAATCTTGGAGCGTAAATGAGTTAGGCTGACCTATAAGGATCTATGACTTAGTTTATATTAAGTTAGATTTAAGTTTAAGTTTTCAAAAAAATCTATTTAGAAAAGACGTCATAATTTTTTTTTTTTTTTTTTTAGATGTCGGACTTATAATTTTAAATAAAATAAATTTATTATTATTATAATTTTAAATAATAAAATAATATTATTTTAATTACACATCTGACCAAAACCAATCAAAACGAGGAGGAGCATAGGTCGTTAAAATCCCAACAAAAACAACGAAGTTACCCTGGTGGTGTGGCCCTTGCCCTCGCTTTCAGTTTCTGTTGAAAGGTACAGCTTTTTATTTCTACCTTTTTATTTTTCTGAGCAACCGTACCATCCTTCACACAACTACGAACCCTAGCAATTACCAGATATTCCCCTTTCCTAATTTCAGATCTCCATTTCATTTTCTTCGGTTCGTTCTCTCTCTCTCTCTCTCTCTTGCATTTCCTATTTATATCTAAGTACCATGATATTTTCTTGCCTGCCGAAGCTTCATTATCAGAATTTCGAGTGCCTGCAAATTCGTTGAGGATTGCTCTTACCTTGTTTGTTATGCCATTTTGTGCGGGAAAACGGGTTTTATTACGCGCAATTAATCATCATCGTATTAGTTGTTTCTGTTCTTTCTATAAGCTTAATTTTAGAAGTTACGGTATACAGGAAAACCTTTCGAGTGTATAATTGACCTTATTTCCTCTTCATATTATGTGAATTGTACTTGGTTCCATGATTCTGACTTTTTGAGATTATGAAGACGGTTCTCAGTTAAGGAGAATGTAAGGGTGACCACTTATGCCATCACATGAACAACTTAAAAAAAGTTTGGTCACCACCTAAGAAGCAAGTAATTGCACTTTTTAACTTCTAAATTATGGAAATGGCTGTGGACAAGAACAAGTATTCATAATTTTTTTAACCATTAACCGAAAGGTCATATGTTCGAATCCGAGAAACAATTTTGAAAAAATGCAAAGGTTAGGTTGCGTATAAGAATTTTGTGGCACACACATATTCTGTCTGCATGTGCGTGTGTTGCAGTTGCTTCTTACAAAAGCTGGCTATTGTTAGTGCCTTTGGTCATGTCTTTTCCTCTGCAGTCTGACTTGTGATTGTGTCCCATGGTTATCTTTATTTGCAGCTGTCGTTGACCTTGGAGGGTGCTGAGAGTGAGTGTAACAAATTACCATCTAGTGTTTCATTTCAACAGATGGTTAGTTTGATCAAGAATTAGCAATGAACTGTAGATATGATAAGATCTGAAGGCGGGGCATTTGAATTTGCTGCTTAATATGAATTAAGAGAAAGGAGATACGCATGTTCTTGTAGGTTTTTGTCGCATATGCATGCTGCAGCAAGTAACTACGATTGTTTGTTGGTGTGAAATATAGAAGCTGGCCAGTAGCGTGGCTACCTGATGTAATGCCACACTCTGTTAAGGTCAGGCCGGTGGCTATGTTGGAAGTTGTACAAGAGATTGGCATCTATATTCATAGATTTCACAATCTTGACCTTTTTCAGCAGGGGTATGCATCCATTTCTACTTTCTTCTTTCCAATATTTGTTATGAAGTCTTACTTGGTTAATTGACATGCATATTTTGTTTTATATAGATGGTATCAGATTAAAATTACTATGAGATGGGAGGACAATGAAAATATATCTTTTGGAATTCCAGCTAGAGTTGTTCAATATGAAGGTAATTTGTCAAAATTATGTCCTATATTACTCATGTGCTTGAGGAAACTGGCTTATACTCGGCCACATATTTGATTAAAATTTTATAATATTAGGATTTGAGATGCAAGCAGGTCCGAACCCACAAAGTCCTATGATTTGACAACTCTATTTTAGACCATAAAGGTATTTTTTTTTAGTTTATATACCTTCTTCGGACCTACATGCATCTCAAATCCTAGTATTATAAAATAGAGCTGGGGCTCGTAAAGTCCTATGTTTGGTCCTAACCCGCAAAGCCCCCTTTGTGAGAGGATTTTTTAGCCCTAACATTCAAAGTCCTATGATTTAGAAAGCTGAGATATAGTTAATCCACGGGCGAAAACTTTTCCGTTATCAAAATGCCTAATATTTAAAAATAAAATAAAAAATATAGATAAAAAAATGTATAAATTGCAATATTATCAGTATGAAATAAATTATGAATAGAATAAATTGTAAATATTTATATATATATATATGTGTGTGTGTGTGTGGCGGGGGGTGGGTATATCTTGGTTCTATTGATCTATTTCGCTATTTTTGCAACCGCAATAGCGTTTTTCAGGGTTGGCTGCGATAGGTTGCAATCTACATTTGATAACTTTGCTTTAGTAGTAGATGTACTACCTTTACTGATTTACCTCAATTACTTTACTGTCTTACCTTAGTTACCCTTTCGTGGTGTATTCTATTATTTTACTTGTGGATACAGAGATAGTTTTACCCATTGGTTGTTAGTGTAACCAGGTTACTTAGTTACCATGACTTGTGAGTCACTTTTCTGATACATGTACTTTTATCTTCTTTATCAGAATACTTTTTCTCTTTTTCTCCTTCATCTGTTCTCTCTCTCTTTTCACTCACTCAAAGCTTTGCTTCTTCGCTTATGGCTGCGACATTAAACTTCAATACTAAGAGAGAGACGAATGAGAGAGAAACAGAGAAGGGCAGAGATGAACCCGATAGAGAGAGCAAGAAAGGCATAGCTGAAACTCGCAATAGATAGGGAGAAAAGCAGAAAGAGAGAGTGGGTTAGAGTTAAACCTGCAAAAAGGCACTGTTGCGGCGTGATTTGGCCGCAAATGCGGCTGCAACGACCACTATCGCAATTTGGTGTGGTGCGGAGCGGGTGGTTGTGGCGAAGCGCAACCGGCGCAGATTGGCGCTGCTGTTACTATTTGTTTACTATACTCAGTTATGTTATGAAGAAATTTGGACATAAACAAGGACCGGCAGATCACCCTTATTTGTCAAAAGGAGTAAAATTGGGAACCAAGAAGTCCTAATTGTCTATGTAAACGATATGGTAATTATAGGTGATGACATTGTAGAGATTGTGACTTAAAAAAAGTAGTACAATCCGAATCAAATTGAAAAATCTCGAAACTATATAATTTTTTTTAGGAATGGAGTTTGCTAGGACTGTTTGAAATTGGTAAACTAGGGTGTAGACTTGCGAAGATACTCTAGAGAGGAATTGTCAACATAAAATTAGAGACGATGATCCTCTGGTGGACAAGGAGACGTATCAACATACTTGATCCACCTATCCTCAACCTACGTTGCACCGGCACTGGCACTACTGGCACTGACACCGACACCGACACCGACACCGACACAGGACACGACAAGACACTCTGACATGTTAATTCTAAAAATTGTTAGATTTTGACACGTTAGGACACGTTTTGATATTAAATAATATTTTTAATATATATAATATAGTTTACATTTAATACATATAGCAACCCATGATAAATCATATAACCAATCAAATATCCAAATTCCATAACATAAATATAAAGCAAAAGTAATTTCTCATGTCAAATTCTATAACAGAAAATATTTGATTTATAAATTAAATTTTCATGTTTAGTTAAAAAGATAAAATAAAATAAAATTTGGATTTGTATGAACGTTGACCGCGTGTCGGACTCGTGTCGGTGTCTGAAATGTGTCAAACACCCATTTTTCAGAAAAAAGCACGTGTCCGTGCTTCATAGTCCTTAACCAGACCTTACATCGCATATGATCAAGCCAATTCATGCATGCTACCACAAAGAGTCCTATGGATGCAGCAAATTAAATCCTGAGGTACTTAAAAAAGGAAGTCTAGGTAAAGGATTATTGTTAAGAAAGACTAGTACTTGATTGGGTAGGACTGTAGGAGCAAGTAAATCTACAACTGTATTTTGCACTAATGTTTGGGGAAATCTAGTTTATTTGAGAAGTTAGAAACAAATTGTAATTGTAAGAAGCAGTGCAGAAGCCGAATTTTGTGCATTAGCTCAAGGAGTTTGGGAGCTCATTTGGATTCAGAGACCTTAATGGCAGATTTAAACATGTCTATCGCCAGTCCGAGAAACTTCGGTGGCAGTAAATCAGCTATATGTGTAGTACACAATCTAGTTCAGCATGACATGCCGAAGCAGTTAGAATCTACAGAAACTTCATTAAGGCTGAAATAGACATTGGACCTATCTCTTTGTCTTATGTTCCTGCAACTTCTTAGGAAGTTGATGTTCTCACAAAAGCTCTATCTTAATCAAGCTTTTAGTCTTGTGGGAATGACTGATGGCTATTTACCCGCATGAGGGGGTGTTGGAAGGTCAGATCCCACATCTATGGGATTCAAATCAAATCTCATTTATGGTGATTAATTTTCTGTTTGATTAGCTGTACAAATTAGTGACTGTACATTTTCTGTATTTTATCAGATTTGGATTTTTTTCTTTTTACATATATTTTGAATTCCTTTTACATATATTTTCTAACCTTTTCTAGTGAAGAAATAAGAAAAAAAAAAATTGTTCCTTCTACAAATTTGTTCAGACTATGAAATTTGTTTTTGATTATCAAGTATTGTCTCCAATCAAGTCTTTCATGAGCAAACCAAACATATAGAGATTGAATGCCATTTTATAAGAGAAAAGATCCTCCTTGGAGAAATCACTACATATTTTGCAACAAATTTCTTTGGGTTGTAAGGGTAACTTACATATGTAACAAGACATGTATGCACTGGCTGGAGGGAAATGTTGATTAATGTAAATTTCCCTTGGTATATGCTGTAATTAGAATAGGAATTATCTACTATAAATATATCTATCCCTAAATTTAGATGTTGAAATTAAAGGGATTTAGGTAGGGAAGGAAGAAAAGAGAGAATAAAGATGGGATAATCTGAAAATGATATTGATTTGATATGAGTGGTGTGTTACAAAAGGCAAAGTAATAACCCTATTTATATTAATATGATAAGAACCTTGGGATGAACCACCCCAAAAGCTAGCTCAAAGTGTGGGAGTGTCCAAGGAATTATAAACCCCATATTCGTTGCCCATACAACCAATGTGAGACTCCAAGTCTCATACCTTGCAATTGGATTCTAACATTCCACCGCTCTCCGTAGCCCTGGCACCAACGCGGGCTGACTTTGCGCTAGTCTTTTACTAGCTCTGGCCGAACACTGCAATGCCGGCATCACCACCTGTGCCGTTGATGAGACCCAAGGTCTCAAGGTTTATGTCAGGAAGAAGAAGAGCAAACACGTGGAGGCTGCTGAGGAACACGTGGGAGAAACTGCTGAAGAGTCTTAGTGTTGCTGTTTCTGTTAATATGTTGTTAATACATTTGTTTAGTTGATTAGTTGTATTGATAGCATGGAAACTTTATTGTATAAATTTCGGGGTCTGCTGTTATTAGTTGGATTGACAGCGTGGCATTGGGATTGTATAAATAAGGGACTGAGTCATTGTAATAGGCACGTGGATAGTCATTTTGAATAGGGAAGATTTTCTCATATATTAGGAGGGAAGTTAAGGCCTCTCGAGTTGCCCTAACCGATTGCAATAGCAGTTGTTGTAACCCTATTTTCTTGCATTGAATAAATAAAGCGGAAACTCAGATTTCATTCTCTGTGCATTGCTTTCTTGCTGTTCTTTGGGTTTGGGGTGAAACAGGGGAGTGGGACTTTATCAATTATTAATAGTAGACTTCTAATCTTATATAAATAAGGAAAGAAATCATGAAATATAAATAAATATAGAGATTAATTCTAAGAGATCATGTAAGATACTCTAAACTATTTTCAAATATAAACATGATAAGATAAGATATCTTCTAGATCAACATCAACATTGCCTTTAACCCAAACTAGTTGGGGTCGACAGTCAATTAATCCAAATAAAAAGTAATAAAAGATTGACGGAAAAAATAAGTAAATAAAACACTATAAATAAATAAATATAGGGAAAAAAGACTCAAAAGGGTCTTTTGGAAACATAATAAATAATAGGTCTATCCCTCCACAATACTAATACCTTTCTCCACCCCATCCTTAGACAAACCATATGTCAATTTATTTCTCACTCTATTAAGTCTTTTTTTATTACTTTCCTATGAGTAAATTTCAACTGGCCTATTCTTTTTTTGTGTTATACTTTTGGTAACAAACTTTTGTTCTTACGAGAGCATCTAGGGGTCTTCGAAGAATATGCCCAATCCATCTTATTCCACGTTCTGTCATTTTTTTGGTCACCAGTATTGTTGCTACTTTTTGTCGAATATCTTCATTTTTTATTACAGGATATCTTCTAAATATTCTAAAGTTAGGGAATCCCACCAACTGACGGATCTGATTTTGTAATACTTCCAATATAAATCAGTGAGGGCTGAGTGGATTTCAAGTGTTATTGACTCGAGACGAGAGACTTGACGGGCTTGACTCATATACTTCCTTTTGTGTAATGAAAGTTGAAACTCTAGGCCTTAATTAAGTAGTTGAAAAATCAGAATAGGTAGCTATTTAATTTTTAAGTGTTAAGTTCACCATAAATCAGGATAACATTGTAGTTCACCGAGGATCTTTCATCCCATGTATGAGATTTTTCTATCTTGTTTCATTATTCTTGAAACTACTTTCTGTGTTTTTTGTGCACCTACATATTTCTTCACATGAACACCTTCAGAAAAGCTATTTCTTATGTGCTGAATTAATAACTGATGCAGTAGAAAATTTTCTCTTCTGCAGCTCCTGATCTTGGTCCTAGCAGTATATATGGTATTTGGAGGATTGATGATACAGACAACAGTTTCTCAACACAGCCCTTTCGGATAAAATATGCTAGGCAGGACATTCATTTATGTATGATGATCTCGTTCAACTTATCTCTTAGTAGATTTGAGGTAATAATCTATCTCTCTCTTTTTCTTCTCTTTCTAGGGGTGTTTAAGTGGAAGAAAAAACACGAGACTATAAAGAACCAATTCAACCCAAAAGCTTAAGCTATTGGGTGAGGATACATTAATGATTTTATATATCTCAACACGCCCTCTCACACGAGAGCCCACTGGGCTTGAAGGGTGGACAATGCACAGGCCCACCTACCTGTACGAAGAAAGAAATTCCACTCGAAAGAAAGTGGGGGGCGATGAGGATCGAACCCGGTACATCGAGGCTCTGATACCATATAAAGAACCAATTCAACCCAAAAGCTTAAGCTAAATTCCACTTAGTGACCATAAGGTCACGAGTTCGATCCTCACCGCCCCCCGCTTTCTTTCTAGTGGAATTTCTTTCTTCGCACAGGCAGGTGGGCCTATGTATTGTCCACTCTTCAAGTCCAGAGGGCTCTTGTGTGAGGGGGTGTGTTAGAGAATATTATAAATCATTAAAAAGACCATCACCTATCACCTTAAGGTTTTGGGTTGAAGTGGTTCTTTAACATGGTATCAGAGCTTTAGTGACCACGAGGTTGCAAGTTCGATCCTCACCGCCCCCCACTTTCAGGTGGAATTAAGAAAAACACAAGGCAAACAAAAAAAAATGCTTATGCAGCACAAGACAGACCAAAAATGGCTTGTGCCATATCCACGCTTCAAGCCCAAAGGGCTCTTGCATGAGGGGTGTGTTAGAAAATAAAATATAAAGTATTAAAAAGACCATCACCTATCACCTTAAGGTTTTGGGTTAAAGTGGTTCTTTAACAGAGACATATGATGAAATCATTGTGTTTGAATTATATAGTGGAGACTCTATTATATAGAGTTAATGTAATAATTACTAGAATCACAAATATCCTATTACAAGATTTAATTAGTCTATTTAAATTGTCTGCATATTTTCCAGTAGTCCCCCTCGAGTTGGTACACATAAGTCATATGCACCAAGCTTGTGACATATATAACTTATCCAAGGATCCCTCGAAGACTAAATGGAAACATCCCTCGGGTGATTATTTGAGTTGACAAAGCGCATGGTGATATCTCCTTATTAGTTTTTTTCTCTAATAAAGTGACAATTGATCTCATTATGTTTGTTTTAGCAACCTCCTAAATAGGAAAATATATGATAGAAGAAATAAGAAGCATATGGGATGTTACTAGTTGGAGTTATCCCAACTGACTTGTAAAAATTAGTTAGACAATTAGTGATTTACGCAGGACACTAAATGAAGAAGGGAATTGACATATTGAGAAGGCTTTTTGTTTGTTAGACAATTTAGAGGGGGGGGGGGGGGGGGGGCTAGGAATTAGGGATGTGCATGGGTCGAACCGAACCGATTTTTTTGAAAAACCGAACTGAATAGGTTTAAATGGTTCAGTTCGGAAGTGGCTCGGTTCGAAACCGGTTCGGGTCGACCCTCTTTTGAAAAGAAAAAAAATTAAAATTTTAAAAAATAAAGTTATAAAAATCAATTTGGTTTGGTTCGAAAACGGTTCGGTTCGGAAACGGTTCGGTTCAGTTCAGTTCAAAATGGTTCGGTTCTTAAACTGGTTCTAAAAACAGGTTCGGTTCATGAACTGGTTCTTTAAAAACCGGTTCGGTTCATGAACTGGTTCTTTAAAAACCGGTTCGGTTCATGAACTGGTTTTTCAAAACCGGTTATTTTAAGGGGCGGTTCGGTTCGATTCATGGTTCGGTTCAGTTTTTTGGTTATTTTGCATACCCCTTCTAAGAATTCTTTCTCTAGATTTAGAGGGACATAGAGCATTCTTTGTAGTTTTTCTACGTGTTCTACCTACAAAATTCATTCTTGGTCTCAAGGGAGAAGTTATATCAATAGCATTCCAATTCTTTCTTAGTTTTTATTGCATTCTTGAACCGAGTTCTTACAACTAGTATTAGATCTATCGAATCTAGGGGGTTCTTTCATGGTTTTGACAAGGATGGAGGCGCAACTGTGTTATTTAGAAGGGAAGTTCGAACGGTTTGTGAAGTTGATGGAGGAAAGTCAATAGTGAGCAGAAACCCAAGATTCACACCTCGAGAAGATAAACGAGATTCTTGAAAAGTGTTAGCCAGTAGAACGAGTTAGAGAATGCGAATGACTTTTGGAAAGGATGAAGAACCAATTGCAGGCAAAACAAAACAAAGAGGCTGAAGAATTCCTTTTCAAGAAGAGGCATGAAATTCTTGAAGGGTTGTCACAAGACCCACTGAGAACGGACAACAAATGAATTCCTCTAGAGATGTAAGATGGAGGAAATTGGAGATTCTCAAATTGCATGCGGCGTACGAGGTTGAGATTTTGACATTAGGGGAGTGGAAGATGTCAACTCTCACCTTGACCGCCTCGATGTGGATATGTCCGCTGTTGATGCCGCCATCTTCAAGGAGCTGGACAAGATGAAATAGAGCTTGAAGGAAATGTAAGGGTTAATTTGTATTAGGCTTAAAGCTTTGTATGCTTTTGCTTAAGGGGGAGCATTAGAAGTATTGAAAATAGGGTATTAGGAAATACACATCATTATATTATTTCCCGTTTGGCGGGTCTATTTTTTTTTTAACTTCTCTTCACTTTATAAATAGAAGCTTAGCCAAATATATTTTCATAAAAACTCTTCTTATGAAAAGGGTTTTTTTAATAGTGAATAAAATAAGGAAAAGCTAGAAGCTTCTAGAAGGAGCTTTTTTAAGATGTACGCTAGCTTTTTTTCAATTATGCCCTTATTCTAAAATTGTATTTACAAATTTTACTCTCTATCCTAATGACAAATCATTCGATCTCCTCCTTTTCCCCTCCTTAATCAATCGATTTAATATGTTTCTTATGTACCCATAGGTGCTATATTGGATTTGAATCAAATTTCGGATCAATCACCAAGAAGAATGTATAAATTGTATTTTATTCATTTTTGGATCTATTTTTTCCTTTAAAATTTTCATCTTTAAAGCCTTGTCTTTTATTTCTTATCATAATTGTGTTTATCTAAATAATAGAGGTTTCTAATACCCGTTACGGTAATTTTAATTTGAAACAAAGCTTATGTAATTGTTATAGTCACTCTATATAATAGTCTTCACTATAAAATTGTAACACAAGGATTTAAACATTTGTCTCTCGTTTTCATGTTATTCAGTATGGTATCAAAGCCTCTATGACTATGTCGTCCAGAGTTCGATCATTATCGCCCCATTCTATTAATGAATAATTAAATATTGTGAAGTTTCTTAGCTCAAGTTGGTGGGTCTAGGCATTGTCCACCCTTCAAGCTTAGCGAACTTTTGTGTGAGAATGCGTGTTAGAAATTAACATCAATACAATAACACCTTTATCCCAAACTAATTGGGGTGAGTGGTAGATGAACCCAAATGAAAAGTACGAAGGGATAAAATATAAATAAAATAAAAATAAAAAATAAAATCATAATAATAATATATATAAATATAAAAGTAAAAATAAAAGGGGTGTAAATAAATAAATAAAGATGGGGAAGGGGAAAGAAGAAGAGGGGGGAAATGAAGAGGAAAAAGACTAAAAAGAGACCATATGGAACATAGGAATAACAACGAGTCTAACCCTCTATCATGCTAATAGCTTTTCTCCATTCCGTCCTAAGGCACACATCGTCCGCTAATCTATATCCCACTCAATTAAGTCTTGTTTTACTACCTTCCCCCAAGTAAGTTTCGGTCTACCTCTACCCTTCTTTGTGTCGAGCTCTTGGTAACAAACTTTTGTTCTTATGGGAGCATCCAGAGGCCTTCTCATTACGTGCCCAAACCACCTCAATCTATATTCTCTCATCTTTTCAGCCACCGGCATACTCCTACCTTAAGTCGAATATCTTCATTTCTTATTTTGTTCATGCTTGTATAATCACACATCCACCTTAACATCCTCATCTCTGCTACTTCCATTTTATGTGCATGTTGCTTACGTGCTGGCCAACATTCAGCTCCATATAATATTGTAGGCCTTATTGTTCTATAGAATTTTCCTTTTAGCTTAAGGGAAATTTTGCGGCCACACAAAAACCTAGAAGCACTACGCCATTTCATCCATCCTGCTTTGATTCTATGATTTACATCCTCATCAATCTCTCCGCCTTTTTGCAAAAAGGATCCCAAGTATCTAAAAGCATCTTTCTTGAGTACCTCTTAACCAAGTAGATACACGAGATCTTGGTCTACATCTCTTACCAGAGAAAACTCACACTTCATATACTATAGTTTCATATTAGTAATATAATATAAATATATAAAATCATTTATCGGTCTTCACCTAATAGTTTGAACTTTTAGGATAGTTGGTTGTTTGACACGTTGCATATGATTCAGATTCCATTGCCCTTTGAGAGTAGTCCGAATGATGTGGTACCACTGCGGATAGTTTTTTTTAGGTTTTGCTCAATGGGTACACGAGTAGCCTTACAACCTTGCTTCTCAATTTTGTAAGGAGAAGAAGAGCATACTTCCTTTGAGAAATAAAGATGTCTTGTTTGGAGTAAGCAACTTCATTCCCAAGGAAGTATTTGATTCTTCCGATTCATCTCAAACTCAGCTCCTAGTTTTTCTTTCCTAAGTTGATAAGTCATCACTTGAGATGATCATGTCATCAACATACACAAATAAGCTAGTGAGTTTACCTTCCTTTGAACGCTTTAAGAAAAGAGTGTGATTACCCTGACTGTGCCTCTATCCGTAGGACACTATTGTCTTTGTCAATCCTCCAAACCATGCACAGAGAAATTGCTTCAGCCCACATAAGGCATTTTTTAACTTACGTAGCTTATTTTTTCCACTATGAGAATATATTCCGGAGGAATCTCCATGTAAATTTCCTCCACTAAATCTTCATGAAGAAAGACATTTTTAACATCAAATTGTTGCAATTCCCACCCATGATGAACAGCAATAGTTAATTTGCAGAATGCAGTCTCCCAGACTAACTTGAAGAAAAAGATTGAATATTATTTCTGAATTGATGAAATCTGTATAACGCATCAACAATATATAGGCTAAACTAAATAATTACCTTCCTAAAATAATGCTCAATCAGTGGTAACTAATGACCTATTCTAGTTAGTAACAGAATAATTTGCAATAATCACAGATGTAACATATGCCGGACTGTTAAAATAGGGGACTGTTATAACAATTTTCGCTTGAGTCTGGGTCAGTGAAAGTTTTGGGGTGGTCTGTGTTTTTTTTTATTTGTCTGACCCACCAACATGGCTTTGGAGGAGTTTTGAGACTCGCCAGAAATGCCCAAGGTGTGCAATTTGACAAACCTAGAGCTGGAGGAACACACAGAATCATCTGATTCTATAACTTGGAGCATGATTTTGATTACCATGCTCTTTAATTCAATACTCTTGTCCCATCTAATTGTGTTATGTGGCTCTTAATTGCAGGGTTTACCTACAACAGCTGTAATTTTAAAGTTTGAACTTATGTATGCTCCCACATTTGAAAATGGGTGAGTGATTAAAGTGGTATATTCATTGGCTTATATTATATGGAGCCAAAACACATGGTTATTCCTTTTTGGTTGATATCTCCTTAGTGAAATCTGTATACTGACTGGAGTGCACCATCTATAGTGCTGACTTGCAAGATTCTCTGGATGCTTACCCTGCTGCTGTCCACGAATTCCGAATTCCTCCTAAAGCTCTTTTAGGATTGCATTCATATTGTCCTGTACATTTTGATGCTTTACATGCTGTGCTTGTTGATGTAAGTGTACATGTCAGTTTACTGAAAGCTGCCTCTTATCCGTCTGCATCGAAGGTACCCAGGTTTGTCACTTTATGAATCAATCAGATCTTCATTTGAGCATTGTTATAGAGCAGATTTATTGCAACTTTATTTATTTTGCTTGTTTGATTACATAGAGTAATTTGTTCACATGCTCCATTTCAGCAGTTCTCGCAATCCTGAAGTCATTACTGATAGACGTTATGGCACATTGAACCAAGTACGCTCTAAATATTGGATGTCTCTTTTGATATCACTATTGAAGTGCTGATCAATTTGGCTTTGTTCAAAATGTTTTTTTGCAAATCTTTATTTTCATTCTTGTGTTTGTGTTCTTTGATTGATTTATAGACTAGGCTTTGGAAAACTGGCATGTTACTTGATGCTCTTGCATAGTATATGTGCTAGTGTTATCTTTCTCATTGCATCCAACTTTGCATAGTCAAAGGTGGAAAGTTCACATTTGCATTATATTCACTTATGCATATGCACGTGTTTTACATTGTATGTGGATTGCATTTTTCTGTTTTGTGTTTCTATTATCTCTTTTCCAAGTTCTACCTTGAGAATTACCTGAACCTGTTTACCGTGCAGAGGATAGATAGTATATGCAAAATAGTTTTACTTTTTAGTTAATCTATTATTCTAAAAATGGAGTAATAACATTTACTTGAAATCAGAGAATAAACCCGATAGGGTGATAATGTGTATGAAACAGTTCACACATAATCAATCTCTCTCTCTTTATGTATAATGTTACACTTACAATTTCTTTTGCTTTACAATCTCTTACAACCATTTTTATTATTATTGTATTAAAATCAAATCAACAACTCTCACCAGATGCTATTTTGTAACCGTTAATTTGATTTTGATCCAATGATAACAAAAATGATTGGAAGGCGAAAGAGGTTATAACTTGCAAGTATAATCTCTCTCTCTCACACACATTATCTATCTATCTATATATTAGTTTTAGTATTAATTACAATTTACAATGATTCAATCTCATATATATAATCCTAAATTGGTTCCTTATGGGCCTGAAAGTGGTGATTAGGTTAGTTAGTTGGTTAGGGAAATCTTCTAGAATATTCTTAGAGGAGGGAATAAAAGGAGAGGGAATATGTGGAGTGAGGTATGTGGGTATTGAGCGAATATTGGGGATTTGAGGATCTCTTAAAGTCTAGGTGTGTTGGTTCTAAGGGTGAGCTTGGGAAAGGTCTTTTAGTGTCTCATTAATCTTTGTTACATTACTATTTTAGTGTCCATTGGTGTTTGTAAGAGGCTCTGCCTCCATTGTTGATAGCAATAAACTGTGAGCATTTTTGGGTTTCATTAGTTTGGTACTAGAGCATCTCCATCTGGAGGTGCTTCTGCTCCATATTTGTGAAGAAATGAAAACCATGGATGGGATTAGCGATTCTGAGCTCAAGGAAATGTTATTAAAAGTGGTGAAGGCTTTCGATGAAGCAATAGAGAGGATGGAAACACAGAGGTTTGAAATCAAGAAGAATAGTTTCAAATATAAAGAAGAAATCGAAGAAGCGGTTATAGTGCTTGCAGGAGAAGAGGTTGTCGGAGCAGAAGAACGAGGATGTAAATGTGTTGATGGAGGGGGGTGTGAGGTGGGAACCTAAGCGACGGGACAAACGTGACGACATATAGTGGAGAAAGTCGCGACTTGCATTCTAAGGGATTGACACCGGAAGAAGATAAGACAAAAGGGGAAGAAAAAGATGCAGAAGAAAAAGCAAAAATCAAAGAGAAAGAAGGGGATAAAGAAAACGACGACGAAGGAGAGAGAGACGAAGAAGTGTTGAAGGTTGCATTCTTGAATGGGTCAAAAGCAAGAACACAAGGGAAGGTTTGTTTGCTCCCAACAATGAGCGTGAAAGAAATGACATCTCTGGTGCGAAAGTTAGACGAAAGGGAGATCGTTTTAGGGAACATGGATCTAGGTTTGGGTCGAAATGGGCCAGGGTCCAGTGGAGGAGTAGGCCACTATTATCGAGCTGCCCTTACAACCCAGTCCATCAATCTAACACTAGCAGCTGGATGAAAATCAAATAATGGGCTAAATGGGAGAACACATGTTGGGCCTCATGTGAACCAAAACGGGCCCAATACCTCTGGATTGCAGTTGCACGCGGGTGGGCTTCAAGGGCAAACCCACGATTCAATTGGCAACCTATAGGGCAGCAACACACAACTCCAACACAGTGACCCAGTCTTCACATGATGACGCCATAGAAGCGACGTACAACGGCGAGTGGTGGGGAGCAAGATGCTGGCGACTTACACCGAACGAGATGAAAGAGAGGAGGAACCTTTGTTTCCGGTGTGATGCCCTATTTTCGCCGGATCATAAATGTCGTAACCAGCATTTACATGTTATGTTACTGGAAACAAGGGTTGACGACATGAACCTTGAAAAAGTAGACATGGTGAAAAAGGAAGAAAGAGAGGAGACGAACCTCAGGCTAACCATGTATAGGATGGTGGGGCTGCCTTCTGATCGGTCATTAAAGGTTTGGAAAAAAAGCGAAGGTTGGGGGGTTGCTTTTTTTATAGACCTAGGGGCTTCCCATAATTTCCTGGGAGCGTAAGTGGCTCAAGAATTGAAGCTGCTAATGGGACCAACATGCTTTAGGAAATGAGACGCGGGTGGCAGTTCTCTCTCTGTCTCACACCACCTATCCTCTTTTTTCATCTTGAGGACAAGGTGAATTTTGAAGGGGGAGTATTGATGGGCCTGAAAGTGGTGAGTAGGTTAGTTTGTTTATTGTTAGTTTGTTAGGGAAATCTTCTAGAATATTCTTAGAGGAGGGAATAAAAGGAAAGGAAATGTGTGGAGTGAGGTATGTTGGTATTGAGTGAATATTAGGGATCTCTTAGAGCCTATGTGTGTTGGTTCTAAGGGTGAGCTTGGGAAGGGTCTTTTTAGTGTCTCATTAATCTTTGTTACATTACTATTTTAGTGTCCATTGGTGTTTGTAAGAGGCTCTGCCTCCTTTGTTGACATCAATAAACTGTGAGCATTTTTGGGTTTCATCAATTTGCATTTTTGGGTTTCATCAGTTCCCGACTGATTCTACAATATATAACATGTTATCCTACTAGTACACATGATATCTTACCATAATTGCTGTAAAGAACCAATTCAACTCAAAAGTTTAAGCTGTTAGGTGATGACCTCTTTAATGGTTTATATTATACTCTAACACGCCCCTCACCAAGGTGGATGATGCATCAGGCCCAGCTTACCTATACTAAGAAATTCCACAAGAGAAAGTGGGGTCGGCGAGGATCGAAACCGGGACACAAGGCCCTGATACCAATTGTTGAGCTGTGCACGGGGAGCTCATAAGGGGAGAGACCACCAACCATGGGCCAGATCAGCAGCAACATTAAGTGGGCTCGGAACACCACAATCAAACCCAAAACCTTAAGGCATTAGGTGTATGGGTCCTTCGACTTATATGGTGCTCACTTAGTCTATTCTTAATCAATGTGGAACTCTTTCACTCAATCATTCACACTTGGATTCTTCAACATCTCCCCCTCAAGTGTGAGTCCTAGACCCACATTCTTTCCCTCTCAAGGAGAAGCTTCTTCGAGTATTCATGGGGTTCATCAATGCTTGGCTTCTCATCAAACATTGACTCTTTCATCAAGGCTTGCGTGGCTGCACTCATCAAGACCTTGGCTTCCCACATCAAGACATACTCGATTCACCACAGGCCAATCCACCATTAGCTCTGATATCAATTTTAGATTAAAGAATAATTTTATATTAAATAATGGTGTGTTACAATGTACAAGAGCTCTCTATTTAAAAAGACTAAAAGACTTAATGGGCTAAGCCCACAAGATGTGGGACTATATACACTGAACTATTCTAACAACTACTCTAACACTCCCACTCATGCTGAAGCATATATATTGTAAGCACCCAGCTTGCCACAAATATATTCAACTCGAGGACCTCTAAGAGCTATAGTGAAGACGTCCGCGAGTTGATCATTGGAGTTGACAAATGTCGTTTTGATTTTACGTTCAGCCACCTCATTTTGTTGTGGAGTGTGAGGACAAGTGGTTTGATGTAAAGTACCTTATGTAGCCAAGAAACTAGAAAAATCAATAAAAACATATTTCTTAGCATTATAATTACGTAGAATACAAATAGAAACAACAAATTGAGTATGAATCTCAGTAGAAAACTTTCTATAAATGGAAAATAACTCAGAACGATTTTTCATTAAATAGATCAAATACAACAGGAAAAATCATCAATAAAGGTAACGAAATACCGAAAACCTAAAACAGACAAAGTACGACTTGAACCCCAAATATCTGAATGAACAAGAGAGAAAGGAGCATCAGCTCGTTTATTGACTCGACTGGCAAAGGAAGTAGTGTATACTTCCTTTGCTGACACGACAACAATCTAAAGACTGAAGACCAGATAAAAGAGGAACCATCTTTTGCAACTTTGAAAGACTTGGATGACCGAGGCGACTGTGGATAAGTTGTGGAGATTCTGTGAGAGAGCATGCCACTGAAGAACGAGGCACAACAAGATAGTAAAGCCCTCGTGACTCCCGACCCACTCCAATCATCTTCCCCGTACCCGAATCCTGCACATAAACAGAATGGCTAGAGAAAGTAATGGTGCAAGTGAGGGAGTGGACCAATTTACTAATAGACTTTAAGTTATAAGGGGATGCCAGGAATGTAATAAACAGATGTCGAGGCCAAGGTAGAGATCGGACGAGCTTGTCCAATCTCACAAACTGGGGCTTTGGCGGCGGTGAAGGGTGGCGCGTGAGCATCACGCGCAGGGAGAAGGAGCCGCGCGTGGGGACTCCTCTGATGATGGGTCTTCCACAAACTTGGTCGCCGGAGAAAGAGGGCTCTGATCGCAGGCTTTCCGGTTGAAATCGACGTCGGATCAGTGCTCCATTGGCCTGAACAGTGACGACCAGTGGTTTTTGGCGGTGGGCAATGGTTCTGACGGTTGAAGAAACAAGCTGGAGAGACGCACGGCTTAGAGAACCTATCGGCGGGACACACGGCTGATGAAAACCTTGCCGGAAGAATGCACAGCAAAGTAGAAGAGAACACCTAAGCAGTGGGCTTAGGGTTTTAGCGGAAGCGGATCCCCAGAACGAAAAAGCTCTGTTACCATGTAAAGAATCAATTCAACCCAAAAATTTAAGTTGATAGGTGATGACCTCTTTAATGGTTTCTATTATACTGTAACAATTGCCCAAGATATTCTAACACATTTCATGTGAAATAATTTCATGCCCACGTATAGCTATAGAGAAAAATGTTAAGTGGAACAAAAGAAGGAATAATATGACGATGATTAGAGGAACTTCTTGTAAGTGAAAACATTAATTTTGAGATGTTTGGCTTCCATGCACTGCTAAAATGTTGTGTTAGCACTGAAGATGGGATGAAAGTCATTTAAAAAAATGTTTTTGCCAACTACAATGTGTTTTTGTATTATGATAAGTGGGGATCAGATTCATACATCTTTGTATTATGAATAAGCGGGGATCAGATTCATATATATATATATATATATATATCTTCTGGTGGTTTAGTTATTTAGACCTTCGTTTTTAGGCAATAACAGAATGCTTTGTGTGACTAACAGGGCTCAGCTGAAGTTGGCTATCTAAATTTGAAAAATGTCATGCTGGTTAAAGCATTATTAACAGCTCGTGATATATTGCTGGAAGAACTACAAAAACTTAGCAAAGCAGTTGATCAAGCTATTGATATTTCAGAGTTTGTGTCAAAAATGAACAATGTGAAATTATTAAATTCCGTTCTGCAAGCAAATCAGTTTGCAACAGATGTTGAAATTTCAGGACAAGGCAAGCCACAGAATGGTTTTGAGGTCCTTACTTATATTCATGCTGCAGAGTATTGCTATTTTGTTTTTCTGTTTATATCATTTTTATGGTTTCTTTTTTATTAATTCTATGGTTTCTTCCTGTACAGGGAGGAAATGGTGCTCTAGAATTTTCGAATGTTGAAAAGCTTCTTTCCTTGTCGAAGAGTGAGCTGTTGGCCTGTTGTCAGTCAGTGGCTGATCAATTGTCATATTTATGGAGCATATTTCTAAATTTCCACAGGTTTGCTTCTGTAGAGAACAAATTTGTGAATTGCTTGAGGAAATTCTCGGCAAAACATTGTATACATGTGATTTACAATCTGTAATATTAAGAAACTCGGAATCTAGGAAATTGAGGAAAATAATGCCAATCAAATCCTAATTGTTTATAGTATATATGTCCCTAAATAGGAGATACTTTCCAACACTTACCTATAAAGGTAGAGCATATAAATCATATGTGTAACGCACGGCTGCTCCAAGCATCAATGACTATTCCCACATACTAACACGCATACTTGTGAATAGCCCCGCTTTAGCGCGCTATAGCGGAGTTGCGTTACGGTGCAACGGCCAGCCGCCACAGACCGCGCCGCGACGGTTCGGCGAAGTGTAGCAGATGTAGCGGCCTCTACAGTAGTTTTTGCAAAAGTGTTCTCGTCGTAAAAGGAAGAGATTTACAACTTAGATACAAGTAAAAGTGAATATGAAGATTTGGATGTTCATGATTGTAATTATGATTGGTTCCTTAAGTTCTTTGATTTTGACATTTCACTTAAGTAGCAGTTTGAATTTTGACTAATTTTGCCACTTTATTTTGTTGTTACATTATTTGAGACTTTAATTCCTTCAATTTGCTTATGATTTGAATTTTAATGTTTGAAATCATTTATGTTTGAGTTTGAGATCCTTCAAATTTGTTTTTTATGTCACATTTTTATATTTTAAGTTTTATATTTGTGGAGTACAATTTAGTGTATTACTTAGGTACACTTTGCACAGTAGCATTGTAGCGCTACCCGCTATAGAGCTATAGCAGTTTGGAGGGTCAGCCATTACGCGCCGCTATTCGAGATTAATAAGTATGCTAACACGAGACTTTTCAGTGTGCTTTTTCCTCACTCGCACACTTCTTGGAAAAACTTCCCAGGAGGTCACCCATCCCAGAATTACTGCAAGTCAAGCACGCTTAACTATGAAGTTCTACTATTCCGGGCTACCGAAAAGTAGATGCATCTTGTTAGTATAGGTAGTACCAATTAATTCTTATAAGCTATCCCCAACTATGCAGTCTCATACCTGCACAATATTTGGAATCTCTCTCTTTCGGGTGTCAGTTCGATTCACATTCATGTAACCCCCCATTGGAAGCCTGTTAGGAGCCGTTCCTTGTCTGTGCCCTTTCGCACCATGCCCTTTCACACCAGCAATCACTCCCCTTCCTCGTCAGCGTTCAGGATGTTACAATATGCACTAAGCTTGTACAAATTGAGCGGATTCGAGATCCCTAAAGCTACTTTGTAAGGATATTTACAAGCTGATAACTATAATTAACAAACTCAATATTGCTTTCCTCGGAGATAATTTTCTCCCTGATAAAATGACAATCAATTTCTATATGTTTGGTTCTCTCATCGATGAGTGGTTCGATGCAATATGTAAAGCCACTCAATTATCATGGTATTGGTATAGCTTCTTATGATCAAGCAAGCCTCTAATCTTGACATGCCTCCCTCCTTTTGATTCCTTTACATTTGTGTCCAAGAGTTTTAGTTGTGGTCGTAAGTCCAAGGAGCCTCGTCTTTAGTGCGGCCATTGCCACAAGTTGGGGGATACTGTTGGCAAGTGTTGGACTCTCCATTGCTGCCCTCATTGCATTGCCAACCTTGCCCAGGCCTCATTGTCTTAAAACCTTATGTCTGCTAAACACCCAACCCCATCTTTGACTGTCTACGCTGACCTTATGAAATGGTTTGAGGGCTGCCAAGTCTCCGGTTCCACTGCCTTTGTTACCCATACATGTAATTCTTTCCCTTGTCTTTCCCAATCATCACTCTTGGGACCTTAGATTTTAGATTTGGGTACTATTGATCACTACTATCCTAATTGATTGATTGTCAGCACCCGACTAAATAAATTCTATTGTATTCTCTTTGTAACTCTTTCCATTCAATAATTGAGATTCTGTGCAACTCAATGACTTTCTCTCTCTGTCACATTTTCTCTCCCTTTCTAGTTTCTACCTTTTTCTCTTTGAATTCAATTAAGGGATAATCTGATATCTTGAAAACTAAAAAGCAAAATGTGGTTGCAAGATCCAGTGCTAAACTAGAGTATCGAGTCATGGTCTCAGCTACTTGTCGAGGAGCCTCATTATCTCTGCGTGGGTCTCCTCCGTTTTTTTCATCTTCTCCAAACTCTCAAATCTGTTTTCCATATTTTTTTATTTTTTTTTATAATAGCTAGATTCAAAGCACCCGGATCGGAGCGCTCTGATACCAATTGATAGGAACTAAACAAATAACAACAGATTTCCCAGAATAGTGCTTCTATAAAAGCTTCATTCCAGTGAATACAACAAGGTTCAACAAGATTAAATTGAGCTACATGCTATAGTGCTGCTATAGCTCAGAATTTGCAGAAGAGAAATAAAAGAAAATTAACAGAAAACAATAAAGCTTCAGGGTCCTTCGAGATACTTTGAGATCTCCCAATTTGCCTCAGCAATCCAAATGACCTCCCCCGGTACCCATTCCTTCTTCACCTCACCTCTTTATCATCTAACGTCTCAGCATGTCTAACAAACTCTCCTAACAAACAAGCTGAATCAGCATCCTCATTAGGCTGTGATACATCAGTATTGGGCTTTATTAAGTTGGGTTGGGCCTATCAATATCACATCGGGCTTTGTTCACTCAAATAATCAATTGGCAAATGTTTTCACTAAGTCCTTGAGAGATCCTCAAATATGTTATATATGTTGGTGCATATGACCTATATACTCCAGCTTGAGGAGAGGTGTTGGCAATTGTGGTAACTGTTTGTAATTGTGGTAACCATGTAAATAGTATCTTGGTTACTATATAAATAGGGTAAGTTAGAATTATGTAATTATGGCAATTAGGATAGTAGTGATATCTATATTTATTTTGTATTTTATTATTTTTTGGTTAATCCACAGATCCAGTCGTGTAGTTGAAACACATGGATTTCACCAAAGTCTCTCGTTTTCTCTTCACTTAACAATGAGAATGGTTCAGTTAACTGCCTTACAATTATAATATGTGGCCTCTTTAATTACCCTTGCATGAGCATGTATCATGAAACATTACCTTAGCTTGTTTCATCATCTGATATGCACTTGTTTCTAGGGATAACAAAACAAAGATTCTAGAATTTTTGCGGGATACATGGGCTAAGGATCGTAAAGCTGAATGGTCAATATGGATGGTGTACTCTAAGGTAGAGATGCCTCATCATTATATAAATAGTGGGAGCGATGAGTCTTCCAATCGTGGGGTACACAGAAGAGTTTCCAGTTTGTGGAAGTTATCTGATGAGGTAAGTGCTTGTGCTTATTCTTTCATATTCTTAATATCAGGCAAGTTGCTTTGAGAAGAAGGAACTTAGGGAAAATAATTTTTAGTGCAAATTACTAAACTTAATTTTCTTTTTGGTCTCAAATCCTACAGCTTCCTCAGACTCTGGCTACACGTGCCGAACTTCATCGAAGGAGCATTGCACAAATGAGGGTAGGTGTCAACTCATATATGTTCCAGTTGCTACTATTTTTACATCTACATATGGCCTATTAATGGATTACATTTTTTCAGATTAACAACCAGTCAATTCAAGACATGCATATTTTTGGAGATCCTTCGCGGATCCCAATTGTGATTGTTGAACGTGTGATGAATGCACCACGACGTACTATCAGTGAAAATTCATACCTGAGACATGTTGGTCGTGTAAATTCACATAGCTTTCAAACTGGATTCGACATGGACATTGCAAACAAGAAATCTGCTGTACAAAGTAATGCTCGTGTTTTGAAGATTGTTGTCTTTGTGCATGGGTTTCAGGCAAGTCTTGCACTAATGGAATTTTTGCAAAACAATACCATGCTTTTAATTTGTCTTGAGCTTGTTAGATTTATGCACCTATTTTAGAGAGATTTTTTCCAGGTCGCATTTTGATGAACTATATGTAGCACTGTTAAAATGAAATCAAACAAAAATGGGCCAGTTGTTGGCCTGTCTTTTAAAGAAGCTGGCAAACCAAAAACCCTAGCCTGACCATAAAGGTTTGGTGGGCATAATGATAAGTCCATGGTCCAGTTTTGACCTCTCAGGTTGAACAAGCTAGAAAATTGCAAATCCTATCTGATTAAAATCATGGGGTTCAATTGGCCTGGTTTTCTACCTGATTTGGTTAGCCAGTCTATTACCAATTAAAATTATGCTTCATGGCCATATTTAAAACATTGGTGCAATAAGTGAGCAAGTAATGTACTCAATACTCTCCCAACCAACTGTTGTCCAAAAGGACAAGTGACTTGCAGGCCATTGACTGAATAACCAGTTGTCAACTTTTGTACAACAGCAACTGATTTTATGAGTAGCATTACTCGAAATGAGCATTCATGAACACTTGGGTACAAGAGTGGTTAGAATATATTTGCGTTAGTGTGTGGGAGAGACTAGGCTCTCTGATTCCTGGGGGACAGCCACATGTAGTCATTTTTCTCTTTCCTTGGATTTTCCATAAATTGAGGGACAAGGGAGATCCTATCAATAAATATCTCTTCTGTTTTCCTTAGTTATTCCCGTAATTCAGTTCCTGTTCTATCACATTCGATCCCTAGTATTCTAGGAAATGCTTTCTTCCTTTTTATTATTTTTGTGAATATCACGTTGTAAGTAATTCTTTGGTGTATACAGACTCCTATGCAGAGTGCAGTCACTCAAGTCTCTAAATCTCTTCACGAATGTGTGCGTGTTTAATGTCTTTTCATTGTCAAAAGTTGGTTTAATGCTTATTCTTCGTCACTTAAAATGCTGTAGGGGCATCATCTAGATCTACGACTTCTTCGAAATCAATGGCTTTTGATAGATCCCAAGGTAGAATTTCTTATGTCAGAGGCTAATGAAGATAGAACATTCGGAGATTTCAGAGAAATGGGACAAAGGCTAGCTCAGGAAGTTATTTCTTTTGTTAAAAAGAAAATGGACAAAGCATCTAGATATGGAAATTTGGGAGATATTAGGCTAAGTTTCGTTGGGCATTCTATTGGTAACCTCATTATAAGAACAGCAATAGCAGGTAGGTCATAATTTTAGAAGTGACAATTTCCATTTGTTTGACATTTGGTGCTAAATTTTGTCCTATGTTTGCAGAGAGCATGATGGAGCCATTTCTAAGATACCTATATACATATGTTTCAGTATCTGGGCCGCACTTGGGGTATCTTTACAGTTCCAACTCTTTGTTTAATTCTGGACTATGGATTTTAAAGAAACTAAAAGGCACCCAGTGCATTCATCAGCTCACCTTCACAGATGATCCAGATATTCAGAATACATTCCTCTATAAACTGTGTAAGGTAAGGAAGGGGTTCTACGAATGTTAGGATCAAATGACACAGACATAAGCTCAGAGTCTTATTCTCTTGAATAACTCACTGTCAGATGTTGATTGTTAGCTGTTACCAACCACACTGTTATTATGAGTATTTATTATGCTATCTTGTGTACCAATTTGGATATTGAATCCGAGTTTTTAATTATTTGATCAAGTAATTTTTCCTTTTATTGGAAAATGTCAAGTAATGTTGATGTGATTTTTAAAATTTGTCATGTATGATCAGCATGACTTCTTCCAAACCCAATGGTAATTTTCTTAAGAAATATATCCTATATAAAGTTAATCAATGGTTTAAAAGTACATTAGTTGTATAGCATCTTTTCCCTTTTCCATGTGAATGCACAATTATTTTTATTATATATATATATATATAGGCAAAATGATTTCTGCAGCTGCTGTACCTACAGCAAGCAAGGATCCGCGTCCGAATCCTAGGATACGGCAACGGATCCTGAGTTTTTTTTTTTTTAAAGTCGTGGGGCCCACTTTTCTGTGTCAGCTGTAGATAATACTATATACGGCTGCTGCAGAAATGTTAAGCCCTATATATATATATATAAATCCGTGAACTTTCAATTTTGGCATCTAGCACCGTGTTTTGAATAATGTTTCAGTTACTTTGTATCAACGTCGAATGGCTATTTTTGGCACAAATAGTACTACTAAGGAATAATGTTTCATATTTGTGGGTGTTAATTTTTCAAATTGAAAGTTGAGGGGTCTCTTTGCCAAAATCCCAAAGTTGAAGAGTGCTATGCGTTTTTTCCTCATAGACCTGGATCATTCATATACTAAGTGGGGTTTAATTACTTTGATGACGTTCTAATAGAGTTCTTTTCATTTCTTTCCTTCTTTTTTTCAGCAGAAGACCTTGGATCATTTTAGGCATATTATCTTGCTATCTTCCCCTCAGGTTTTCCCTTCTCTTGTGATAAATCATTTCTAGAAATATTACTTACTGTTATGCGTATTAGCAATGGATGTACATTAGTATTATGGTTTTTTTATGGGTCTTTAAATTGGAACTTAATCGATGGATAATATTAATGCATGTGAAGCATGATCTTCTTATTATATAATAAATTTTACAGTGTTATGTTCATGTTGCATCTGAAATGAATCCAAACAGCAGACGAACAAGCTTTTTGAAATGTTGGGAGTATTTTATCTTTCCTAATTGAGGTCTAATGAAATACTAAAATTTTAAGGAAGAGTATGTAACTATATATGATAATGAATTATTTTTAAGTGAAATACTCTTTCCTTTTAAGCTTTTCCTTTTTTCGTTTTTCTTTTCCCCATTTTCTCTTTTTCTCTTTTTCTCTGGCATGGTTGCTTTTAATTGAAATTTATCTGGTTTGCTGTTAACCGGTAATGTTTTTTCAGGATGGTTATGTGCCTTATCATTCAGCTAGAATAGAATCATGCCAGGCTGCTTCACATGACAATTCAAAGAAGGGCATTGTGTTCCTAGAGATGCTGAACGATTGTTTGGACCAGATCCGTGCCAATCCCTCTGAACATCGAGTGTTCATACGTTGTGATGTCAATTTTGATGCCACTGCATATGGCAAGAATTTAAACTCTTTCATTGGGCGTGCTGCACACATTGAATTTCTGGAGTCTGACATTTTTGCAAAGTTCATAATGTGGTCATTTCCAGAACTATTTCGATAGCAGTTGATTTGCCTTATTTGCATTCAGGTTCTCTAAAGCATTGAGGTATAAGCTCTCCTATTTATTAGCTTCAGAGACCAATAGTGGTCAGATTTCAGTCACAGGTTATACAAAGAATGACAATCACCTTGGTATGCGTAAGTTGGCAGGAGCATATAAACATCTGAGCTGCATATTTAGTTGGCTTCAAGATGTTTATTTGGAACACATGTATACATAGCTTTAGGAATGGTTCCAAGAAATATAGTGATGTAATTATTTTAGGTTTGCTAGATCACTGTTGATGTTATGCTTTTACAGTTATTTATTGGAAGCCATTATTGGTGAGGGAAGGGATTCGGCACGCGATGGAACACAGTAATAGAATTAGACAAATTATCTACCAAAGTACAGGGAAAATTTAAATGAAATACCTGAATTCTCACTTTCTTGTAGTTTGGTTCATTTTCTTTTCTTTCTCTGAAGGAATAAAACAACCAAAATTATTGAAAGCAGCTTCGTAAATTTGTGTATTATTTATTATTTTTGTTTTTGTGTGCAATCTATGCTCTTCAGTCTTTACTTGAACAAAAGCAGCTTCGTAATTCGAGTTCTTGTTGAACAAAAGGATTGAATTCATATATATCCTTCATAACTTCAGCAAGAGCGATTCCCACTTTGAATTTTTTTTTTTTTTTGGAAACTAAAAAAATAAATAAATGAAATCTTTGTAAAAAGTTGTTTAGATCAAGATTCTCTGCTTTGACTGAGATGACAATCTTTTTAAAATGTTATTTTACTACGATTACTTGGTAATTTTTCTAACATGTAACTTTACTTTTTTTAAGTTTCACTTCTTATTTCTTTTTTTCTATCTTTTTAGCTTTTCTAATGTTTCCGATATTTTTTTTTTAAATAGCTGTCAAAGTGCATTCATTTAAAAAATAAACGCACATTTTATTAAAAAAAATATTCATTAATGTTATTGTTTTTAAAGTTTATAATATTTTAGTTTCAAGTTCCAATAATAAGAATATTTAATTATTTTTTCGTTAAGTAGCTTAGTTTTAGAGCTACGGAAAATGCAATGAGATAAGCGATTTCAATTTTCAAATCTTGCATGTATATTCAATCTCCTTTTCGTCCCTTTATTCTCCTTTAGATAGGCTCTATGTGGACCTTTTAAAGGCTTTATCCCCATACTTGGTTTTTTATTGAAAAAAATAATAAAAGAATATTATAATTTTATTTATGTATATTTCATTGATAATATATTTTTATTTTGTTTATATTAAACCACCAGTTTGACCAAGGCTTCTCATCAACTACTGCAACATCATCCCATCTCAATTCCACTATAATCTCATAAATAGCTGAATCATCACTAAATGGGATAATCATCACATTTGTATGAATATTTTCCTCTCCCAGAAACATAAATAGTTTAATTCTGATTTTATATGCCCATGCATACTAAGTGTGTTGATTATTTAAACATTAATATTATTTAATTTTACACTACTCTTTTAAATAATATTTATTGTTCACATGTTTGTGTTACTTAACTGTGTTAGCGACGGTAAAACAAAGAATCATTGGTGTCAAGCGTGCTCATTCAGGAGCTGATTTTTAAAGATAACACAATGTTGCCAAGAAAGTTGGATTACATGTTTGCACACGGTGTTGTGCACAAAATCCAAAGAAAGGATTTTGAGGTCACAAATCGGGTTGACAATCGATTTACTGCATTTCATCGCCTTTTTTGATGTTCAAGCAGTGTTCAAAATGCAAGTCAATGGCACCTTCCTGTATGACAAGTTCCACGAGACACTTTTGATTGCAACAACCCAAAATGGGAACAATTGGATGGTGAAAAATAAGGAACACTGCATGCAAATGGCTAACCAAAGTCAACAATCATAAGGAATGAAATGGGCTTGGCACTTTCCCTGCTCATCATGATCGACAATATTATTAGTCAATGAAAATACCTCTAAACACGACAATATTATCTATCCCCAGTAGCTCATGTAATTTTTTCTTTTTGGGAAAAAATGAAAAACACTAGCTGCAATAACGTTACATGTCACTCCAACTCAAACACTAAAAATAAAGTTTTGGATAACCCGAAAACGGTGGAAAAAAAATCAACCCAATTCACATACCAAGAGATGTTAAGGGAGACACTTATCGTTGATGGAAATAGTTGTCAATAATCATACATCCAACTGCAATCAAATACTATCTATTACTCTTACAATCTTTGGCAGAAAGTGAAAAATAAATTATTTCCATATAGTGTTACACTCACAACAAGTATGGAGGTTTGTTTATATGACAACCTAAACCTCCGTATTCTACAGGCTCATGACAGTTACACATTAAGGGAAAAAAACAGATATCAGCATGATTCGAAGGGATTAACGTAACTTCATCTTGTGTGACATGAAAAACATTTTTCCCTAATCTTGTGTGGCAGAAAAAAACATTTTTCCCTAATTAGAATAAACGTATCTCACCGTCAAATTGAAGTCAGCTCTCTGACAATAGAAAATTGCATGTTGAATATATGGAAGCCGCAGCTGCATTAACAGCTAACTCTTTCTCCGCGCTATCTACCGATACTCTTCTGCATGTCATATAATATCAAAATTGTTAAACTTGTGACTGTTAAACTGTTAAAGGCTTAATGCTTTTAACTTTGAGATAGTATTCATCTCGATACTCAAAAGAATAAAGTTTGGAAGACGTTTTCAAAGATAAAGATTATGTTTTCCAAATCAAATATATGATGATGATGATCAAGTTACAGAGCAGAAAATATTAAATATGGGCATTACTAGAACAAATTACCACTCTTTCAAAAGGAAGTCAAAATGAAGCAAATTCTCATGATTAAACCCAAGGAAAATCAGTCATTTCACCACTTCCACTGAGAAAATAAAGTGACACAAAAAATAGAGCAACAAACTTAAGATATGTCATTCTTAACCCTAAGCAGCAGATGATAAGTTGCATAAAAGCAAAAAATTCCTGTCCACATTACACAAGAAATCATGAAAAAAATAGAATTGGTAGTCTCTCTAGAAAATGCATTCAGTTGTTGGTGTAAAGAATCATTTTAACTCAAAACAAAACCTTAAGGCCTAGGGTGAGGCTACATTAATGATTTTATATTTTTTTAACACACACCTTCACGCAAGACAGAGGCCCATTCTTTTTGTCTATCTTGTGCTGCACAGACCCATTTTTGGTTTTATATCTCTTTAACAAAGCCATGCAAACATTGACCAGCTTGCTTAAATAATTCCTAGTTGCAGTAAAATTCATAATACTAGGGGAAGGAAGGCAGCCAATTATTTAAGTTTCTTTCCCTTGGTAGCAGAGCAATACTCGTGCACAAGTAACTGGCATAGAATTAACAATTAAATTGCTGATAACTGAATTTTATTGAATAATTATTGGGTCCGTCGCTTCTCATGTGGCTGCTGATGAGAAAAGTTGCAGCAAATTTTTAACACTAGGATACACATGCGGATCCTAGGATACACGTGCGGATCCTATCAAAACAAAAAAAACAAAAAAAATCCAGGATTCGGACGCGTATCCTGTGTTGCTGCAAATTTTCCCTTCTGCAGTCACATAAGAAGTACTTTCCCCATAATTATTCTATCCTTTTTTTTTTTTTGGTTACAAAATATGGTTATAATCAAACAAAACCTCTTGCAGAAAACACACAACTTCCTTTCAGAAGAAACAAAGAAACAAAGTAAAAAACATAATCATTTCAATACTTAAATGTAAAATAATATGTTGTGTATGGATCTAATTTAGAGGGTTACAATATATAGAGACTCTAATGGGCTTAAGTGAAAGGCCCAGACCTAATACAAACCTAATACAATCAGAATTAATTACAAACTAATCATATCTAATCATAATAATTACAGACTAATCATATCTAATCATAATAATTACAGACTAATCATATCTAATCATATTTAATATATTCTAACACTCCCCCTCAAGCTGGTGCGTATATATTGTGAGCACCAAGCTTGTTACAAATATATTGAACCCGAGGACCTCTAAGAGCTTTAGTGAAGACATCCGCTAGTTGATCAGAGGAGTTGACGAAAGCAGTCTTGATTTCTCCTGACTGAATCTTTTCTCGAATGAAGTAACAATCAATCTCTATATGTTTGGTCCTCTCATGAAAGACAGGATTAGAGGATATATGTAGCGCAGCTTGATTATCACAGATGAGTGTCATGGGTTGTTTCTGTTCACAAAGATGAAGCTCCTAAATCAACTGCTTTAACCAGACTAACTCACAGGTAGCATTTGCCATTACACGATACTCAGCTTCTGCACTAGATCGAGCAACAACAGGTTGTTTCTTGCTCTTCCACGAAATTAAGTTTCCTCCAAAGAAGACACAATAGCCAGAAGTAGAGCGCTTGTCCGAGGGTGATCCTGCCCAATCAGCATATGAATAACCACAAATTTCTGTATTTCCCTGATCTGAATACAACAAACTTTTTCCTGGTGCTCCTTTGATGTATCGGAGGATCCTCACAGCAGCATCCCAATGTGAATCACAAGGGGAATCAAGAAACTGACTAGCCGTACTAACAGCAAAAGAAATATCTGGCCTAGTCACAGTAAGATAGTTGAGCTTCCCAATTAGCCTCCGATAACGTCCAGGATCAGATAACGGCTCCCCTTGTCCGGGAAATAACTTGACATTAGGATCCATAGGTGTTTCAACTGGTTTACTCCCCAACATACCAGTTTCTTCTAGGATATCCAAGGCATATTTCCTTTGACAGATAGAAATGCCATGTCTAGATTGCGCCACCTCAATTCCCAAGAAGTAACGCAGCTTCCCAAGGTCCTTTGTTTGAAATGTACTAAACAAATGCTGTTTTAACTGACGAATTCCGTCTTGATCACTTCCGGTGAGAATGATGTCGTCAACATAGACTAACAAATAGATACACTTATCAGGAGATGTAATCCTATAAAACCCAGAATGGTCAACTTTACTGCGGATTAAGCCAAACGCCTGAACAGCAGAACTGAAGCGACTGAACCATGCTCGACGAGACTGCTTGAGACCATATAAGGATTTCCGAAGACGACACACATTTCCAGACTCCCCCTGAGCAACAAAACCAGGTGGTTGCTCCATGCAAACTTCTTGTAAATCACCATGAAGAAAGGCATTTTTGATGTCAAGTTGAAGGAGTGGCCAGTGACGAACAGCAGCAAGGACAAGAAAGAGGCGGACTGACGCCATCTTAGTGACCGGAGAAAATGTATCGCTATAATCAAGGCCAAAGATTTGAGTAAAACCCTTGGCAACTAAACGTGCCTTGAGACGATCAATATGGCCATCAGGTCCAAC